TGCTACTAACTGTAACAGAAACACCATTATTCCAATGCTACTAACACTAACAGAAACACCATTATCCACATGCTACTAACTGTAACAGAAACACCATTATTCCAATGCTACTAACACTAACAGAAACACCATTATCCACATGCTACTAACTGTAACAGAAACACCATTATTCACATGTTACTAACACTAACAGAAACACCTTTATTCACATGTTACTAACTATAACAGAAACACCATTATTCCAATGTTACTAACTCTAACAGAAACACCATTATTCACATGTTACTAACTATAACAGAAACACCATTATTCCAATGTTAACAGTACGTACGCGTAACTTATAAACTTGTAAACTGTTCTTACTAACTAATTGATAACAAACACGCTGACTAACTCACGAACTAACTGAATCACAGACACGCTAAGCTTTACTGTCTAACTCACAACAATAACAAAAACTAGCACTCAACTGATTTACTCATTAATTGACTCATCAGTTCGCCGCTTCACTGATTGTGGTTCACTCACTCTAGCATTTATAGCTTTCTCGTCTTTTAACTTACTACACAAAAGTTCTAGATCGTTACGTCATCATCATTGTGTAACAAGCATCTAAATTAAAATATTAAAAATATAGCTTACAATATTATATATCATTAATTGAATCACTTCAAGAAACTTCTCTCCCTCACAGCATACATCTTTACTAATTATATCCGAAATTAAAGTCTCTCATTGTTTAGGTTATATCTGTATATAGATCTGTTTTTACATAAATGTTATTCGAGTTATTATGTTTTATGGTTTTACGAAACTACTAAGAAATAAATATTAATCTCTGTTGATTTTCTGTTTAATATGTATATTTTATTAATTAGGTTTTCCAGCAGGAATATTGCAGCCCCCTCTTTACCACCAAAATTACCCAAGGTGAGGTTACAAAGCGACATCTGTTGTACAGCATTTAATTTGAATTAATTTTAAAAAAATATATTATTTTTCGATAGTAATAATCATTCAAATTACAGTTTTAATTCCGTATTTTGAAGTGGGTTAAATACAATTAGTGTTTTTAATTATCTTAGAGAATACGTTATTAAAATTACACAAGTTTTACGTGGAAGGTAAAATGACATGCTTAAATTTATTGCCTTCGGATCTTAACATTTAATCTCTGTCAATGAAATGAAAATAGTAGTTAATGCTTTTTTATTTTAACGAAAATCCAAAATGCCATGATTAAGATAATTATTATTAAACCTGTGACAAGCATTAATACAGAAAATAATATAAATATGCAGAATTATTGCATTAGCACTGAGACTAATTTTTGCTAGGTTTCTGTTCGTGTTAATAACGTGAGAATAAAGGTGTTTCTGTTATAGTTAGTAACATGTGAATAAAGGCGTTTCTGTTAGTGTTAGTAACATGTGAATAAAGGCGTTTCTGTTAGTGTTAGTAACATGTGAATAAAGGTGTTTCTATTAGTGTTAGTAACATGTGAATAAAGGTATTTCTGTTTGTGTTAGTAGCATATGAATAAAGGTGTTTCTGTTAGTGTTAGTAGCATATGAATAAAGGTGTTTCTGTTAGAGTTAGTAACATTGGAATAATGGTGTTTCTGTTAGTGTTAGTAACATTGGAATAATGGTGTTTCTGTTAGTGTTAGTAGCATATGAATAAAGGTGTTTCTGTTAGTGTTAGTAACATTGGAATAATGGTGTTTCTGTTATAGTTAGTAACATGTGGATAATGGTGTTTCTGTTAGTGTTAGTAGCATTGGAATAATGGTGTTTCTGTTAGTGTTAGTAACATTGGAATAATGGTGTTTCTGTTAGTGTTAGTAACGTCTCCGTTTGTTAATTAACTTTCCGTAACTTCGTTCCGACGAAATTTTAGC